TGACACTAGTAAAAAAATCACATATCACATTAGTGCATTGTCGCTAGCAACACACTAGAGTTGTGAAGTCCCACATCGGCTAGTAAGGTGAACGAAGCATGCCATATATATGGGTGTGGATACCTTACTCTTGAGGACGCGTTTTGGGGTGGTGTTGGCCATTCCCGAGAACAAAGCCGTGAGGCCGTGGGCCAAAGCGGACAATATCCTCATGCGGGTTGCTTGGGCTGTTACATTTGGTATCAGAGCCGGGACCCGGGCAGGTGTGCCAGCGAGGGCGCTGGGCTCCCCGAGGGGGGGTGGATTGTGAAGTCCCACATCGGCTAGTAAGGTGAACGAAGCATGCCATATATATGGGTGTGGATACCTTACTCTTGAGGACGCGTTTTGGGGTGGTGTTGGCCATTCCCGAGAACAAAGCCGTGAGGCCGTGGGCCAAAGCGGACAATATCCTCATGCGGGTTGCTTGGGCTGTTACAAGAGTAATCTAGGAGTACATGTCATGTCACACTCTTTGTGCACTTTCACTAGAAGGACATACTACCAAGGTATGGTCGAGATACCTAAGTTGTGTAAGATACATCTCATGGTCATGAAGGCACGACTAGGACTTCCAAATTGAGTTGTCCCTAAGGTTGGCTCCCAAACTTTTACATAAGGGATCTTTAATGGCGGTATATTCCATATCGTATCCTTCAAAAAAATATTTTTATGCACATGATGCATGTCAAACAGACTCTATGCATAACATTTCACATGATCTCATTAATTCATTATCAATTTATCCCATACCATAAAATCATTAACCATTCTCAATATAGTAATTCAACATTCAATTATATCAATTAAATATTAGCAATCAATGAGATAAGGTATCACATAACTACAACTCATACATAGCTCACAAGCATATAAATAACACACATACTACATTTCCATAACTTAATCTTTTATGATATCATAGGGTCACCTCAGCTAGAGCTATATATGTGCTATCAAGTTGATCTTAATTTTATTACAAAGTTAAAACAATTATCTCTAACTTCTATGTTGACCTCAATAGCTAATTATGCAATCTACTATTTTAAATAAATACAAAATCATAACGTTTCAATCTAAATATGACGATCTAACCTTTACTCACTAATTTGATCATAACTTGAGTTCTAGACCCCTTTTTTAGGTGATTTCAATGACATTTGGAAGCTAACATCTAGGACTGCAACTTTTATAAAAACCACAAAAGCTAATTTAGCCATCTACTCGCTTAAGTGAGCCAATCTTTCACTTAAGCGAGATTAGCTTGCTTAGAGCAAGCTTTGAGTGAGATCAACTCCCTCGGAGCGAGATAAAACTTGCTCAAAGACAACACCATCCAAAACTCTTTGTCAGACCATGCTTGGGTGAGCCTAAATTTGCTTGAAGTGGGATAATATGGTTGCTTGAAGTGGGATACAACAATCTCAAACGCGAAACCACACTGTTTATGAGTTTCTAACCTTCCCTACACCATTTCCTAACATCTCCAACCCAAATCCAACCGGTAAGAACTTTCCTTAGGTTACATCACACTTCTAAAAGACACAATTTACACATAGATACATACTCATGCCTTTTCCTCATACAACCACTAATGCATTTCCTTAGGGTTTCTTACAGTAACTCACAAGAGCACTAAAATAAACAATTACAAGCCAAACTAAAAAATTACCAACTCCTTTCATACTAATTACATTAATCAAAACATACAGGGAGAAATAGAGAATGTAAAGACACATTTAGGGAAAACCCCCTCATATATAGACATATCACAAAGATAGAATTGATGGTTAATCTCACTACTCAACATACATTTCCACACCTAGAGCAATGTTTCTCACTCTCCCCATTACCTAGATAAGCACTAGACGGTGGTACATGGCTTTAGGATGATTTCCTTCTTACTTCTACTCTTTGAGCTTTGAAGTAGGAACACGTTGAAAAAAATAAGGAAACGTAAAAATTGATTTTCAAATCTTAACCTCCCTTCACTCTCATAGCTAAAAAGAATTAACTATAGTTATAAATTCCTTCTCTTTTAATAAAATATTATAAATTTTTAATAAAATATAATATATTATATATCAAAACATACCAAATAATTAAATAAATATTAAACGACTCCTATTAATAAGAATAAAAATATCAAAATTATTAATAAAATATTTATATTATTATATTTTATGAAAAAATAGGGTATTATATAAATAATATTTGTGATATCTAAAAAAATAAAAATCAAACTTAACAAAAATTTCAAAATAATATTCACATTTTCTCTCTAATTTCATATATATATATATATATATATATATATATATATATGATTTTAAGACATTTGGATGTGTATTATTATTAAAAATTAATAGCATGTATAAATTATGGTACATGCAAAGAAAAACTAGATTTTTAAATATTTGTTCTCTTTATATTGTTTATGTAATAAATTTTTCATTCAATAAAATCAAATTATTCAAAATTATCATTAATTTTTATATATTTTTGTAATAAAGAAGTATAAATTAAAATTTAATATATTTAATTACGGTGTTCCTAAGACCAATTTCTAGAGTATTAGAATAATATTTAATCAGCAAAAGTCATATTTCATATGTGCAAATTAGTTCTATTTGTAACTTTGAAATATTGTATGAATTATATCTATGAACATTTCTTTTAAAAAAAAATTTACCTAATCAAATAATTGCAATATAATACAATTCAATTTTACTTTGTAAATTTTTTTTTCTTACTCAAAATTTAAATATTTGAAAAAATTATATTATAATTCGTCACATTTTGATAAAAACAAATTTTAGTTCATATACTTTAAAATCCACAATTTTAATATAGTATATTATCCCATATTTTTTGAAGCTTAATATACCACCATCGGTGACAAATGTAACATTTATAGAAAATATATGAATAAAAAATAATTATTTTTAAAATATAAGAATTAAAACTTTTTCTTTTTCTTGAAAAATGAGAAAGTTAAAATACATTTTATCCAAAAATTTTAATAAGAAGTTTATTTTTTTAATGGAAGGAAATATTAAAATATAAAATAAAATATAAATACTTTATAGTTTGTCAATTATATGAAAAAATCTTAGAATTTTCCTCTATACAATATCCAACCAAATTATGGTTATATTTATATATTTTTATTCCTCAAATTTTGTGTGATGTTATTTTGTTTCGACCATAACAATAACTGACTTATTATTCACATTATGATTTAGTAGCATAAGAACTATTTTAGTGCAAGTGGTACTTTTTCTTAATTTGTTTATCTCCTTCTTTTGATTAATAATTAGCTTAATTAATTAGGATCATCTACCTTAGTGACGTTTATAACAAAAAAATCAAGAATTAATTAAACTGACCATAAAAAATATTATATCATATTAGTTTTAAATGTCAAATTTATATGTCTAAAATCCAATCTTATATATCTTAAAATAATATTTAATAAATCATATTTTACAAATATAAATTAATTATTAATTATTAACTTTAAGATATTATATGAATTATATTTAAAAAAATCTTATACAAATCCAAAAATTATATAATGTTAATCGAACTTATATGCACATAATTTTCTTTACATAATTACCGCACAATTGATTTATTTAAGCATAAATTTATAAAGTCACTATGTATAAAAAATATGAAATTACTATATTCATTTATTTCTTCATAATTTATTTAAATTAATTATATTTCATTAAAGTATGTGTAAATTATATTTTAATATTCTCTTTTTCTTTCAGATAATTGAAGTTTATTTTGACTAATATTTATTAGTCAAATGTGATAATTGATATTTGATTTAATTATTCATTTATCATATAATTACACAATATTAGTATAATATACTTTTTTATACTTTCGAATTCTTATAATTTTTAATGATGAGAACTAAAATAAATTAAAAAGTATATATATAAAAACTAAAATAAATAATTTTTAGGTATAAGGATTAAAATGTTAAATTATCTATATATACATATCAAATGAATAATTAGATTTTAATATTTTAAATCAACTATCTTTTTCCTATTAGTGGTTAATATGTATTTTTAAACTTATTGAACATTAGTTTTAATTTTAGATAAAAAAATGTAAAGACTAAATCATTGAATCCATGTAACTTTCAATCAAATTAGTGAATCAAATTTAATATCATTCACATAATTAGTGGATTAATTTTGCTAGCATATGGTTTTTTTAATCATTAAAAATTAGTAGTGTTAATTTTTCAACTGTCTTGATTTTGCTAAATTTTTTAATTTAGTTTAAATAACAATGTAGGATGTTATTCACATTTTATAAAAAAAAAATTAAAATTAAAATATTCTTTTAATTTCATATTTCTATGTTAGTTCTCTTCACAATTAGTATTTTTACTATGTGAGATGCACAAACAAAATATTTATTATAATAAAATTTATATATATATATATATATATAAATATTATATTTAAACATATAAATTATATTTAAAATATAAAAAATTATTTTAAATATATAATTTATAATTAGTAATCTTGATTCAATATGTTTATGTCTCAATTTGCAAAATTCACATTTTTAACAAGTCATGTAAGTTTCGATTTGTAAGATAAATGATTTAAGTTTTTTGTTAAATAAATAAATATAATAAATAAAAATTAAATTAAAAAGAAGTTTATAAGATTTTTAAATCTGTTCTTATTAAAAATAAATTTAATATTTCTATGTAGGATAAAACTTTGTGTTTAATATATTAAAATTAAAATATAAATAATATGCTCATAAAATAAAATAAATATTTTTAATTATTTATTGCAACAAAATTATATGAGCGACCTTCATCGTGGATTACCCTTCCATGTATTCGAAAGACAAATTAGAAACTGTAAAATATTTTCACAAATAAATCACCTGTTTAAACAGAAACATAAATAAAGAGACTCTTATTTTATTTTCCATATTTTGTCTCGATTGAATAGAAGTCATATCATATTATTCTTCTGTGGTTTTTAGCAAAATCATTCGGCTTAATTCAATTTCTCTGTCTGTAAATACTTCAACTTCTCCAATTCTCACCGTCACTCGGTGATTCGGTAATCCTCTCTCTGTCGATTGTTATTATTATTATTTTTTAATTTTTTTCCCTTCGGAATTTATTTATTTTCCTCCAAAGAAAGCTGTAATTTTTGCCATTCATCAGAAGTTTAGTGTGACATTTCTCTTCCCAGTTGAATGCATGTGCTTCCAGTTTATGTTGTTGCGATATTTATTTATTTTTTACTCAAATGTTGCTATTTGTTCTGTGTGAGCTGAAAAGCTGTTCCTTTTTGTAGTCATTTAGTTCATGTGAATTCCATTTGATCGATTCAATGAATTTTGAAGCTGAGACATTGAAAACCTCAGATTTTTCTATTTTACATGATGCATAATGCTAGATCATTCTGGGTTTTGTCTTAAACTCTACCTTGCTTTCATGATACCTAATAGCGCAGACATTTCAACACTACATTGTAAAAATGTTTTACATACCTCTCACAATGTTATAACAATACCCTTTGCCAGCCATATAATTGAACATTAGGGTATTAGTTGGTGATATTAAGTGAATATGGGAGTTAAGGTTAATATTTGGGATTTATGGGATGACTTGTATTTATTTGATTATCTTTTTTTGTTTATTTATGAGCAATGAAAATTCATATGCTGACAAGTGAAAATATCTTTTTCTTTTTTGTTGGTTGTTTGTTGGTCAACAGTAGTCAGATTTTTTCTTGTTCAAAGAGGCAAAGTAGAAGAGGAAAGTACTGAAATTCCAAGCTTTTCTCTAGAGTAAGAGCAAAGAGTAGATTGTCATAAAAAGCGGCAGACTTTCCTTCAATGGGCGCTCCGAAGCAGAAATGGACTGCAGAAGAAGAAGCGGCGCTGAAAGCTGGAGTAGTTAAACATGGGGCAGGAAAGTGGCGCACTATACTTACAGATCCCGAGTTCAGTGCCATTTTGCGCATGCGTTCAAATGTAGATCTTAAGGTTGTCTTTTCAACAGCCTAGCAGGTTGTGGGATGTGTTGTAGAAAGGAAGTCTTATTATTCCTTCTGGTTGGGGATGTTACAATTTTACAATTTTACAACTGCACTGACCAAATGATCATATCTGTGTATTGCATCGTAAAATCAGTATATAATGTTATTGTCCTTTGCTTAGATCAAATTTCCAAAGTTAAGACATACTTTAGCTGTACTAATATATATGCTTTGAACTGTGAATAGGATAAATGGAGGAATATAAATGTGACAGCAATATGGGGGTCCCGGCAGAAGGCAAAGCTTGCTCTTAAAAGGAGCCTACCAGCACCCAAAATTGACAATAACCATATGGCCTTGAGTATGGTAGTTCGACATGATGAAGTTCTTGATACTAAGCCCTTGGCAGTATCTGGTGGACCATTGCAATCTCCTAATGTGAAAGAACAAATATCAAGGTTACAGAGATCTGGTTAAATATATCTTCCATTTTGTTATCTAGAGAAAAATAACCTATCTTCATGATTGTGGTGCTTGATTTGCTTAATTTTGTTCTTGAAGAGAATATGGAGATTGTAAACTTTGAAAAATGTTACATCCCTTAACAGTAATCAGTTCCAAGATTGCAAAAAGCTGTGTGCTGTTATCCCAGTTTTTATAAATGAATCAAGTACAAGAGTAATTTGCATTCAAATGTTATAATTTCTGATGTTTGTTTCTGCTTTAACCATGGCAAAGCCATATGAAAAAGGTGTTGTTACCTATCTTGAATAAAGAAAGAAAAAAGGAAAGATAGATCATAGACCATGTTAACTAAGCAATGGATCACTGCTTTTGGATGAAGTAGTATGATTCATACTTTTGCTTTTGTGGGGGAAAAATTATATTGTTAAATAATTTCATGCTTGCTTGCAATTCTTAGCAACGTTGTGTACTTTGACTCCTTTGCTAAAGGAATTCATGCTTAGGTACATTTATCTTAATTTTGTCACATTCCAGTGTGCATTAATTCTAATTTAAAAAATCATTGATTTATTAGTAAGTTCTACTTGCAAGTTGCAAATAGTTGATAAACAGTTTTCTTGTTTGATGTCACTACTGATAACATTCCATCTTGTTCTAAATGTATACCTTTGACTTATGAAAGCAATAATGATTGCAGGTTGGTGGATAATCACATATTAGAGGCTATTGTCAACATGAAGGAGCAAAAGGGTTCTGACAAGGCTGCCATTATTTCTTACATAGAGGTACTTCTATTTCACTTCACAAATGATTGTAAAATCCAACCATCCCAAGAAGCAAATGGTCTTCAAAATGAATGAATTGGTTTGCATGTGGACTGTTGGAAAGCCACCTTAATTGCTGTCATCCTAATTTGCCTTAACTGCAGCCAATTATAATTGGTTGCCAATGTCTCAGAAAGGGCTGACAAGAAAGGCTGAGTTAAGCATTGTTGAGTGCAGCCATTGGGATTGGCTCTTGAGTGATTGAGATCTTACATCGACTAAAGATACGACTTAAGTAGTGCTTGTAATCTTCACCTTCCAAGCTATTTTTGTGGGGTTTAGTAGGGTTTTAAGCCCAATGAACTTAATAAATTAATAAATAAATGTTATTTTCCCCTAAAGTAATAAATAATTTCTATCTATCTGTTTTAAAATAGAGATAATTATGTAGATCCCTTCTTTGTGACTGATCTCACTGCATCAGAAATCTTGGAAACTAATTGGAAATATTTCTCTCCTAGGTCCATAACGTGCTATAACCTTTTGTTAATTGCTAGTAATTTCAAATGGTCATGTGACTCACATGGTAAAACTATTTACAGAAGTATTTTTCTTATTTATTTATTTAATTTTTTAATGAACCCATTGTGTGTGCTTTTAACCTGGCAAGTAATATAACCTGCTAATTTTTTCTCTCTTTTCATTCTATAATGGTTCACAAAAGAAATAGCATCATTCAACCAAATCATTCTATGCTATATTCTGCAAATCTTGTCTTTGAAAATGACCTATGATTTAGCTTTAGAACATTGGTGGATAGTCAATATAGCTAATACTATAAATATAATGCTTATTTACATACTTGTCTGCATTACTGCATCTAAAGTAATTTTGAAACTTTTCATGTGTCTAGGAAAAGTATCGGTCTCCACCAAATCTCAGTAAATTACTGTCAACCAAACTGAAGCATATGGTGGCAAGTGGAAAAATAATCAAGGTAGTTTTACATTCAGTTACTGCTTTAGCGAATCACATTAAGCTCTGCATGCAAACCTGTGTGATAGCGATGAGTATTTGGTGATACTGAAAATTATTAAAAGAAAATGATTGACAAAGAAATTAATTGGTTATAGACATAAATAGATAATTAGATACATATTTTATTATGGCAGTTGCAATGTTTCGTATATGGGCATCTTCTTTAGTGAGAGAGATTTCTATTTGAGTTGATAAATTGCCCCATACAATAAACATATATTCCCTCAGTGACATGTTCCTTTGGCATGTAATTAAATTCAATATATGATTAAGTTGATGTTCAGTATGGTATATCTATTGATAGGAAAAGCACAAGTACAGGATTGCTCCAAGTTCAACAGTCTCTGAGAAAAGAAGAGGCTCTTCATCGATACTTTTGGAAGGGAGGCCCAAAGATCCTCCAGGAGCATATAAGAATGATGATGTCAACATCCTATCAAAATCCCAAATTGATGCAGAGATATCAAAAGTGAAGGGCATGACAGCTCAAGAGGCAGCTGCTGTGGCTGCAAAAGCAGTTGCAGAGGCAGAAGCTGCAATTGCACAGGCTGAGGCAGCAGCTAGAGAGGCAGAGGCTGCAGAAGCTGAAGCTGATGCAGCCAAAGTGTTTGCGAAGGCAGCAATGAAGGTGCTAAAATGCAAAATGCTTCATATTTGGTAGCTTCCTCACCAAGAAATCTATATTGATTCCTTTAGATGAGATAGTCATAATTTAATATATAAAATTTATTTTCCTGTTTAGAATGATTATCAGTTATCAGTTATCACATCATAGTTATTCAAATAGTATGCTGGTGTTCTCTACACTCTCCAGTTAGTCACTCTTTGAGAATCTTAACATCCTTATTTATTTTGCCTTCTGTTCTTGGCTACTTAATTAGAGTCTGACCTGTATGTGATCAGATTTCATGTGGTTAATTTGCTCAAAACATCTTGCAGCCCAACTTTTTACCAAACTGATAATGAATTTCTGACACTTTCTACTGTGCATTCCCATTCCATACTTTTCTAATGCCTAGCTTCCAATTGTTCTAGACTCCAGAAGATTGGAGTCAAGATCAGTTAATATTATTTTCACTCTTTTGAGTTAGTTTGTTTTTTTGCCAGTCGAGGTTTAATTCTCACCTTTTTCACTAGAGAGTTGACAATTCTCTTTATATATATATATATATATATATATATGTGTATGTATGTATATATATATTTGTTAAAATAAAGGGAAGATGATTACAAAGAGTTGGGAGGTAAGATATCATCCTTATAAATAAAAGTGAAATGAGGACTAGTCTCAAACAAATAGAACAAAAAAATTTTGATGGAACAAAGCTAAACAGCTACATCACTGCATAAGAATAAATGGGGTACTGATATGAGCTTGCACCACACACAACACATTAGAGGAAATTGCCTTTATATGGACAGTGAATGTATAACATGTCATTGTTAATTTATTATTAGTTATACTGGTTTCCAAATAAAGGATTTAACCTCGGAGGGAGTTTGGACTTTTCAAATAGGTTTATCATGGTGGAAACGAAATTCTATTAATTGAATGGATTAGGAATTGAAAGTAAACCACCGCAGAAGGATTGAGGAGTAACTTTCTCCATTACGTCTTCTTCCACCCAAGTCTCCATCTCTTGTGAAAGGACCCTCAGTGTGTTAGTTACTGTGGGTAAAGGGATCTTTTTAAGCTTTCGTTAGTGCTATGCATTATGTTGATGTCTGTAAAGTAGTTTCTCCTAGGTCTGTTGGTTTAATTCTTTTAAAGCTATAATTGTTGCCGCATTATTCAGATTCCAATATAGAAAGAACTTCTGTTGGTTCTCTTTGTTCTATGCTATACATAGTAATTTCTATTACTTCTTTTAGTTAAACCTATTTAATGTTTGTGAATTCTTTGCAGATGGTGTGGACTTACACCCGTTCATCATCAGCAGAGTCGGTTTGATATGATAGTTCTGTTGCTGCGCTTCCTGTCTGTTTTTCTTAACTGTACATAATTTTCAGGTTGTATATCTGGAATATGCGGGATGATTATGGAGACATTTTGTTAGGAGTCAATAATAGTCTTTTTGTTTACTGATTTTCTTATTTTTAAAGGAAGACAATGAGGGGAAAGCTACAAAGCAGTAACGGAATAGTGGAAATAGCCATGTTTTGCTGTACTGGAATGATTGACATCCACTTAGAGTAAATGAGAGAAAACAATTTTTAGTTGTGTGTCCAATAGCAATATGGATTGTCATTGACATCAAATCATATATGCGAGGATGCTTGTTCCGAGATATTGCTACACTATTCATGCTCCATAAATATATTGAGTTCCTCTTGAAGTATGTCAAAATTATTGTTGTCTTGTGATTTTAAGTCCATAAGGACAGTACGATGTAAAGTGTATGGAGCCATTTGTTCCAAATTTAGAAAATGGTCGTACTTTCTGAATTAAGTTGCGGATAATTACCATCTTGGAAAACCTAGGGATAGATTGGTATTTTGCTCTTTATTAACAATTGTTACTATCTTTGTGAAAATGTAAAATGTTACTTTGCTATGCATACTAGAGTTGTTCAAGAAGGGGTAGTAATGATCTTTTACGAGCAATCGATATGCTTCTTTAAGAATAACGATTGGAAAGATGCTAAACAATATAATTTGGCTGACATGATGAAACTCTGTCAAAGCCTGGCAAATGAACCAACTCGAATGCACATAGCAATTAGGAAAAAGAAGTTGGACTACAGCTCCCGAAGTCATATATAAGCAGGATGAATTATGGTTGGGCACCGAATTCCCACCAAAATAAAAGAATCAAAAGTTATTAAAAGAATGAAGCAACACAAAGCAAAAGAGGTGTTGATGAGGTATACCGGAAATGTGTTGCCTTGGTCGCCGGGAAAGGTCGAGACCCAAACCAAAGGGATCTCTTGAACGAAGACGTATACAAAATCAAATAGAACAACATAGTTAACTAATAAATGATTTGGTAATTTTGCAGAATATTTATAACAAACCGCAATTTATTGTCTACGTGGTTTTCTGCTAATCAGATCACTCGCCAGCAATCATTTAAAATCTGATCAATTTTAATGAGAACAAAAACTAAATCTGAAAATTTAGTATATTCAATAAGACTAAACCACTGTACTTGAACATTAGTACAATCTCATGCAAAAAAATCGTGACAAGGGAAAGATTGCAAACATACTTTTTGATTTTACAAGTTCTAATCGGATTCCCTTGTTCCTATTATAACATCGTAGCAAATGTCACTAGGGTTGATCAGAACAAGCTAATCTACGATGAAAATTGTTACAACTTCCTATCCCTGTTCAGATAGCATATGTAAACATTAAAGCAACTTGTAATCACTAGCCACAACCAAGTTCAGAGCCTAACAAACTCCCATCCTCCTTTCTTTTTTCATTCCATTCTTCTAATATTTCATATGCCGAGGGCTTGTCAATTATTTCCTCACTATCATCATCGTCAGAGCTTCCATCATCCCAGAGCTCCTCATCCAATTCATATGAGGACTTGTCAAGTGCCAGATTATCAGTACATTCATGCCTATCAGTATATGAACTTATTCCATCTTCAATATCAGAGTTTTTAGACCTGAAAACCATGAAATCATTTTTATCTCCTCCACTGACTTGATCATGATTAGGGGCATATGTTTCCGGTTCAGTGTGATGACTACCAACAAGAATGTCATTCTCAGATTCAGCACCTTCAATCATCATTCTTCTGGAAATATTTGTCACGTTCCCATCATCATCAATTCCTTCATTCAGACCATTGACAGTATTTTCACTTCCAAAAGGGATTATACTAGAGATGCTTCTAGGTGTACCTCCACAAAGAACATGCAATGATCTTGTTAAATTAGAGACTGTAGGTTCTGATGCGACATCACAATTACCAACAGCACCCAACAACTGCTCTAGATCTTCATGACTGATTCTGTCTTCACTTTCCTTAAACAGGTTTGTCCACTGCTTTTCAGTCACTTGGAATGGCGCATAAGCCATGGTGTTGATTAAGATAGCAGCTCGCTCATAATTATGCTGAGCTATAGCTTGAATCACCAATTCAAAAAAGAAAAGATGGTGAGGAATTTCTCCAGCTTCTAGAATTAGGTCAAATGCATGCTCCAGTAAATGCAACTGCATTGAAACCAAAACATGCCATCAAAATCTACTTTTAGAAAAACACATAAAAATCAATAAACCATTAAAATGTATTTTTTGTGGTTTCTTTTGCTGACAGTGGCCACTAGTAATAAGTAAAGATCAGCAGTTGAATGTAGTTGATTCTGAAAATTATCCAACAAATGTTAGTCTGATTCTAAAGGATTAAAGAAAGAACTAATGCAAAGGTTGTTTCTATTGAGATCATGGGCACGAGCCTAAACATATTTAGGTTTGAGCCAAACTATTCATTCAAGCTTTATACATATGCTTGCACACAGTACAAAATAATTGAAAAAGATTTGCTGACACTGACACAAAAAAAATAATTAACATATAATCTTTTTTCACCCTGGCAGTGTATTGATGGATGAAATACATGCAGTCTTAGGTGCAAATATAGTTTGAAGGTAACACAAACTTTATATGACATGACACTATGAGCATAACTTAATATCAATAAGTGTATTTTCTACCTTGCCAGCTCTTGAAGCTTTAATAAGTAATGGCAAGTGCTTATTTTGATCCAATTGATAGCCGGAAACAATCATCTCTCTGTACACATGCTCAAAGTATTCCCATTGCTGTGCGCTAGCTGAAGCTTCCAACATTGAGTTATATGTGTACATATCTGGGACGACAGAGCTATTACCACCCTCTGGGGTGGAATAAAATTCTAGTTTGGCTACTTTAGCTTCCTCAAATAAAACTTTGGCTTTAGTGAACATATCATTTTGGCCATAAACTTTTAGCATTGTATTTATGGCCCCAATGTTAGGAGCACAATGATCTTTCATGTATTCAAATATACATATGCAATCATCAATATGTCCACCATCCATGGAAGACTTGATCATGCCGGTGAAAGTAAATTCCAAAGGCCTGGCATGAGGAAGACTTCTAATCCTGTCAACCTGCAGCCATATTTCAAGGACAATGCATCTTAATAAGGATTTATAAGTTGGTACATGTTTATCTAACCACGTACATGAAAACAGAAAAGAGAAAACGACCAAATTCACAACTTAAAACCCTACCTATGGTCCCTATGTGTGTGTTCGAGAGTTAGAAGGGAAGGGATGGGATCAAGGGGAAAGGAAGGATAAACTCTTTCCATATTTCAAGGACAATGCATCTTAATAAGGATTTATAAGTTGGTACATGTTTATCTAACCACGTACATGAAAACAGAAAAGAGAAAACGACCAAATTCACAACTTAAAACCCTACCTATGGTCCCTATGTGTGTGTTCGAGAGTTAGAAGGGAAGGGATGGGATCAAGGGGAAAGGAAGGATAAACCCTTTCCCTTGTTGGGCTGCTATTAATTTTCTAGGAGAAGAAAATGAAGGATTAGTAACTTAAAATGATGAATAAATAACAATATAAATTTACAATTTCAACTGCTTTTTTAAAAAAATTAACATAATTAAACTAATGTAGTTTTTTCCCTGAACCCCCACTTTGGGGAATTCAAAGTATGTAAGGTAGGCTAGTTTATTGTAAATCCTCATTCCTTTCCCCTCTCTTTAGAAGACTCTCAAACAATTGAAAGTCTAACCATAAGCTTTTCCCTCCCTCTCTTTCCC